TTCGTGTACGCATTTCTTTTTTGAACAGAACTTTTCCGTAGCTTTGGATTCGACTACTTCTTCAACAGGTCGAGGCAAACTGCACAATCAATAGCAGGTACAAGGTATGTTCAAATCCCTGCTGAAACCTTCCGCTAAACCAACACACGTTCATACTAAAATTGCTATTCTTCTGAACAAAGCAACCCGAGCGCATTATGACCTGTCACATCACTGGGACTGAGAAAAGTGGATACTCAACTCCCTAAATGTACATAATTCAAAACTACAGCGTGCTATCTCCTCATATCCAGATGATTGACGTCCCACTTATTTAACTACTCTCTTTGTTCTTCTATGAACCAATGCACACGTCTTCAAGAGGCAACAACATGAATGAAGTCCGAGGATATCGACTGACATGTGAACAATGCTTCTGCTTTTGCAACTGCAATCAGACCTACATAGGTCTACGTATTCCCTTCCTCTCAATACGATGTGAATATTAAGAAGGACAAACACTACTTGCTTGATAACATCTAAGGTTCACATGGCGACTAGAATGAAAAAGTCTGTCTTCCGGGTTGTTGAGCCGTGTAGAAGTTTCAGGGGTGCCTGCTGCCTTAACCATCAATGGGGATGAGTAATCACCCAGATGATGGACTTCTACTGCTGGGTGCAAAAACCCAGAAGACACCCATCTTCCTAAGTACTGCTTATTATGACGTCATTATCTTGCTTTGAGCGATCTTATTAAATTCAAGTTGAACTAACTTCATAGAACATCGAGCTAATATTCGTTCAGGCGGTCAAGATATTATACGCCGGTGAGAAAAGAAATGGGCGTTAGCTCAGAGACACAGAAGCTAAACTCTACCACTAGACGTACAGATTTGTAATCGGTAAGAGGAAAAATGTTGTTTACTTACTTGAATGACTACATATGGGAATAATTTGGTATCAAAGCTGCACTTCGCCCATCGGGTTGTAGCTTGGCCATTATAGTGTACATGATATATCGATTCCATTGCCACATATTATATTATTTTTCTCGCTCGCTTTTACTACAAGGCGCGCGTAGGTTACGTAATAATGAGGATTAAACAGCGAAGAGATGACGGACCATTACATCAACTTATTACCTTGCATTCCTCCTGGTACGAGAAACATGGAATGCCTACAGAATAAATGAATTCGAAAGGTCTGTCGGGTTAAATCTATTAGATACTAAATGCCATTTTATCAAGCCAAAATTCCTATTTCTCACTGGTGTCAGATGTTGATACATTGTGGATTGGATCGGATTAGGAAAGACAGAAACGTTCATGCCCTATTTGAAGGCAAGTTATGATAAACTGTCGTTATTAAGAGTTATCAGATATTTACATTATGCTATAAACATATAAGTCCCAAAGCGTTGACCACAAAACATTGGAGTCTAGTTCCTGCAATCAACCGCTGAGCTTAGCACGCGTCTTCCTTATAATAAACAGTGTAATGTCACACCTCGAGGGAGTAATTAACTGCGATAGTATCACGAACAGCAAGGGCAGAAAGGATTGCTTAATGACACGGGGGAGAAAGGGGCATAGCATTAAGGATTGGTATTAACAACAGCACACAATGCAATCGGCGGTTGATTCTCTTGGGAAATAATGAGATACAACACAAAAAATATGTTGTTCTTGAACATCCACATATGACAATGATCTTCCCACAGAGACTATACTACATATCATATACCAATAAAGACGCTTCGTTTGTACACCGACAGCGAATGATTGTGGAAATACCCATTACTTCACGACTTGATAAATCTCAAAATATATATCACAAACTTACAGCAATGTTTGAAAATATAATGCAAACAATTTCAGAGTCAAATAATTAACGTTCATTTAAACCTAAGTTCTCATTATCCAAGGCAATCAGTTTAGTTCCTGTACCCAATACTGTACTGGTTATGTGCGTAGGCTGACATCTTTAAGTATAAATATTTACACATAGTTAATAAATGTTGGATCAAACAGTAGTAAATATTATATTTTAATTTATTTCAAATAATAAATATATTTAAAATAAATTACATAATAATAAAGACGGATAATTATGAACATCAAATAGAACACTTTTCGGTTGGGGCCGATTTATAAGAAGTTCTCACGGCCAATCAGTGCCATAAACCATCTACCTCCCCCTCACGATATGTAAAATGGGGTTGGTGTACCGCCATGACACTTCGACAATATTTAGTGTGCCGTGAGTGTAGAAAGTTTGCGCAACACTGGGCCACCAGGAAGGTCCAAGATAGGCAGGAGGGTTTGCAATTCAAAGGGACACATCATCTGTTGGCATATGCTGATGATGTTAATTTATTGGGTGACGATATAAATACAATACAGAGGAATACAGAAGTAGTCGGGAGGATAATCTCATGCGCGATCTATGGGAGAATGGATTTTGTTGGCCCAGGCTAGGGTTCGGTGGAGGGCTTTGGTTAATTCGGTAACGAACTTTCAGGTTCCCTAAGTCATCTAGTTAGTTAGTTAGTTAGTTAGTGCCCTACATTTTTTTTTTTTTAGTTTTTGTGACGATATAAATACAATACAGAGGAATACAGAAGTAGTCGGGAGGATAATCTCATGCGCGATCTATGGGAGAATGGATTTTGTTGGCCCAGGCTAGGGTTCGGTGGAGGGCTTTGGTTAATTCGGTAACGAACTTTCAGGTTCCCTAAGTCATCTAGTTAGTTAGTTAGTTAGTTAGTGCCCTACATTTTTTTTTTTTTAGTTTTTTAGTTTTTTAGTGTTCTGTCTGACGACAGGTCCATATGAACAGGATCCTTCCATCCTTTTCTCGGACTGGGACCTGTTCATATACGTTCTTGGCAGATGATCCAGAAGTGGTTGGCCATTGCCTTCTTCTGTGTGGAATGGAGTAATTATTGGGATGCCACGGAGAAACCGGGGAAGCCCCCGGAGGAAAACTCCGTGTTGCCTAGACCACGGCCTTACCCAACACAAGTTATAAATTCGGGCACAGTCGGGAATCGAACCCGAGACCCCAGGATTACAAGGCCAGCGTTCTAACCGCTAGACCACCGTGGCACCCTACACTTATGGGCACTTTTTTACGGGAATGAAAAGTGGACATTGAAAGCAAAGGATAACACATAAATTAAAACTGCTGGAATTAAATTAGTCAGAAGAAAAGTGAAATAAACTTGGAAAACTATAAAATCAAATACAGAACCAATAATGCACAAAATGTGAAAGAAAACAGACTGAACATGATGACTAACGTAAAGAGACAGACTCCCCAAACTGTTAAAAAAATGACAAACCACGTGGAGTAAGAAACCAAGAGGCTTTCAGGCGATTACGACTCAGAACAAGTCATTAAGTTTCTCTTTGTCTTCTAGATGCTGCTGATAATGATGGATATGAATTCATTTAGCCCTGTTAGTTTACATATTTTACCGGCTGTAGCTAGCCATAATGGTCGTTATCGCATAGCAAATACATTTGCTCATAAAAACCACTTTATGCTTTACAGATCAATAAAATTTACTTATATCACAGAAACGTATATTTATCATTCATACCTTGCAGTGTTCCTTTTCTTTCCGTTCTGCAGGTTCGTCAGGTAATATTCTTCTCCCACTGAACGTCCTTGACAAGATTCTTGATGACAACACGAACACTGTCACTGTACTCAACACGATCAAACATGGCCTCAATTTCTTCGGCATCACAGAGTAGATTCATAAATCTCATAATGTTTTGTTCAGGTTCGTTGTCAAGAAAATTTGCAGCAAATTATAAGGTTCCTTTTAACTGTTCATATTTTCCTCCCAAATTCCGTATTAACGTCCTTAAAAATATGTGGACATTGAAGTTCAGATAAAATATGGTCATAGATGTATAAAACACGCAACTTTAGCAAAAAAAATATTTTGTTACTGAAAATTCATTATATTCCAAGTATACTATATCGACCTTTAGCTCTCCTAATGTGGTGTGAATTTCGGAAACACCAAATTAGATACCATAACTTCTGATATTCGAATAGAGGCCTAAATCGATGCACATAAATTTTCCAAGCAGAAAAAATGCCTGTAATTAAAATTATTCTTATTCGTTCTTCACCATAAATGACCGCCCAAACAGGAAACAGCATGTGAAACTGAATTTGTTTATCGACCTCAACCAAGCTACTACTTTAATCGATTTAAAACTGCAATTGAATCAGAGATGAATGACGTATCAAAATTAATGTTAACCTCAATTGCCCTTTCTGGTATTAGGCCTACATATTCACAGTTCCGTGGTTAATTGAGTGACGTAAATTGGAATGCATGCTGTCAGTGTCAAATCCCGACCACATTTAGTGAGGAGTACGACAAAATTGTTAAATAAATCTCCAATTTACACTGCGTTGTAATGACGTCAACTTAATAACCTCATAACACTTTTCTTCTATGATAAACTGCTTTCAGCGTTAAGTTCATGAATCAAAGAAACTTGAAAATATTACACTTGACAGTAAATTCACACTTGATGCCATTCAATACACCGTTTTGACATGTGACGCACACCCACATGCACCACGTGGTATAGTGTGTTGTGCTGTCTTAAAATGACTGTGTTTAAGCACTACCAGAAATGTGTCAGAACCAGTTACGCAATTTCGACTTCTAATTGTAAAAATAATAAGAAAACAAAAAATAAAACAGCTACAAAATATGACGAAACAGCTCCCATTCCGTTTGTAGTTCGGCTGTTGGTATTACTGACAACATTCGGCACTCATTCGGTTATCAAATACATGTTGCTTCAGAACACCGCAAGCGATTAGTTTAATACCGGAGACGAACATATGTTAAATATTAGATAAAATAAGGTAAACTGATGACATGCCTGATAATTCGTACAGCAGAAGGAATCTTGATGAGGATGACACACACATTCCACATGATGACGAATGCAGTTGGCAGCACTTAGAGAGATGGGAATTTTTGGACCTCAGCTGATCCATTTCTCCTACCTTCGGATTTTGTCCCATGAGGTCAACATTTTTGTGTGTACGGTAGGCTCTTTATTTTCAAAGATTAATGAGTCTCTTACCAAAAACACATGAAGATTTCAGTCAAACAGAATACTGGAATGAGTTTTTCAAGAAAAGAGGGCCAAAGGCGTTTGAATGGTAAAATGAATATCGTTATCTTTTGTACATAACCTTAAAATTATACATAGCAGTAACTTTTTTGAACAAAGCATATCTATCTTTTTCTGTAGGTATGGAGAATACCCGGAATTGTGTGGCCTTCTTCATAAGTATATTAAACCAAAGGATGTAATCCTTATGGTAGGATGTGGGAATTCTACACTAAGTGCCGATTTGTATGATGTTGGTTATAGGTAAACCATTAACCTAAACTATTTACTTGAATATTTGGATATCAGACGACTTTAGTTACTATTGCATATATTGTAACAATCCATAGGTATGGTTACAAAATATTATAATTTTGGGATCGTTGCTATTAACACGCATGCTCTTCAGTTTCTGCATATTTGAAAGTGACAGTGTAACACTTACTGTTGATTTATGTGCTAATTGTTTATGTTTTCAAATAATGAAGTCCATTGTTTTTACATTAATTTCAGACATATAACAAATATTGACATCAGTCATGTGGTAATCAAACAAATGCAAGATGCCCATGGAAAGGACCGTATTAATATGGTGTATCAACAGATGGATGCACTGAACATGACTTTTAATGATTGTCAGTTCAGTGTAGTTCTTGACAAAGGAACATTGGATGCACTTATGCCAGATGATTCTGAGGATGTTAGAAGAAAAATTGACAAACTCTTTAATGTGTGTAAAACACATTCTGTATATTTCCCTCTCATAATAAAATATAAAATGCTTGTTAATGATATAGTTTATATTAACCTTTGACATAACTTGTTAATTTCACTAAATATGTATTTATTGTGCTAGGAAATTGACCGTGTTCTTCGTGTAGGAGGCCGTTATATTTGTGTATCATTGCTTCAAGATCACATCCTTGTCAAGTTACTAGAATTCTTCCCAACAGCTGGTTGGATGTTACGGGTGTGTCGATGCATTGAAGCAGAACATAGATCAGCACAAAGTGGAGATGGAGCATGTTTACCAGTCTTTATTGTTGTTTGCACGAAGTTCAAGAAACTTCCTAACATTCAGCCTGTAAGTTCATTTTTTACAACTAAATATCTTTTATTATAACTGAAAGTTTCAGTGTAGTATTTTTTTTTCATTTTACCACATCAAATGCTTTCTTAATGATTGTATTATTGGTGATAGTATAAAAATGAAAATCTTGTTTGTGAAGATATTTTGTCTTTTTATGCAGAATAAGGTGAAATCCAAGTGGTATTGTTATTGTATGTAAAGAAATAGATAATTTGATAAAACATAAAAAACCTAAATTTGATTTGATATGGGAAATAGGAAGCATTAACTCATTGATTTTCTCAAAAACAGTTCATTGTGCAAAACTTGGTTTGTGATGCATAGATCCATCTAAGTTTGCAGCTGTTCTTTCATCAGCTATGTGACAGTACCTACATATTACAAATTAGTGTTCACAATAAATGAGGTATGCAAAGTTATACAGAACCCATCTGAAAAGAAACATTTTTGCCATTAAGGTGAATCACTCTATTCTTGTTCTGTTCTGTCTTGTGAGATTTCATCTGATGTTTTAGGTACTTGAGATCTGTTTGGCTGGAGAGCATATTCAAAGAGTCTGTTCTCAAGACGAAGTCAAGTCTAGTGTGAAAGCTCTTCAGCAGTCATCACTAGTATGTTCAAGACTGAATCGTGGAAGTGTAGCAGGGCATGGTGAAGTCTTCCTTGATCTTTTTCGTCCTGGGGAGACAAATCCACGTTATACAGTCAATGTCCTAGATCAACCATATGCCAAGGAAACTGGAAGAAGATTTGCAGCCTTCATTGTACCACAGGGAAGGCAAGTTTTTTGTACTTTTTTTTATAAATTGTTTCTTTCTCTGGAGACAAAATAATGAATTCCATTTTAACCATATTAATTTATATATCAAACAATTCAAATTTTTACATGCACTTTATAGGAATGTATCACATTTAAATCCAGAAGAAAACATATGACTTCCTTATTATTCTTGTAGGGAGACAGAATGGCTTTTTGCAACACCTGAGGGCCGTTCAACATTGCTGAAATCTGCAGGCTTTGATCGACTGGCTGTTGTGTCATTACACAGAGACCAAACATATAAAGGACTGGATGCTGTTCAGGAGGAACTGACTGACAGCATCTTGCACTTAGCACCACCTGGCCTTTTACAGAATGCACAAGTAATTATCAAAACCATCAGATGGGTGAAAAATTTAACAACACAAATCTCTGATTATGATATGGAAAGGAAATTCCACTGTACTAGTCTTCAAGAGGAATGGCTGACTTGCCCTGAGTCCTTTTGGATCTCAGGAGTCAGATCACCACAGTCCAGGTTCAAGAAAAATAGTGTAACATTCTAAAAATTAAGAAACATTGGTCTAGACGGGTGATCTTTGTCATTCTGTTTGTCTGCTCACAACACACCCTTACTTTCCTTATGTCAGTTCCTTGTGATGGAACCACAGTTTTTAAAATGTCAGATTTATTCCATGATGGCGTAGCTCATAGTCTACACAAACATTATTTCAAGTTTGCATGGTCTCTCATATGATCAAGAAATTCCCTGCCATTAATAGAACTTGAAGGTTCGTTACCATGTTCACAAGAGCAAGCTAATGGTCCTTATTCTGAGCCAGAAAAATTCAGTCCACACCCTCATATCCTATGTAAGACTCATTTTAATATTGTCCTCCCATACACACCTATTGACACTATATAGTCTGAGCTACTGAAAACGTGTAGGTAAATAAATTATAAATAAATAAACATATGCACCTAGGTCTCACAAGTGGTATTATTCTTCTTCTATGGCTCTCCGGTCCATATTCGGTCCATGGCCTCCTCAATTCTCCTCTTCCATTCGGTCCTCTGTTAGGTCCGTGTGTCCGAGGCTTTGATCGAGGTTTCGAAACATCTTCCTTTTTACAGTGCAAGGTGCAGGTACCATTAAGTGGGACACAAGTGGTATTCATCATTCAAGTTTTCCAATTAAAAGTCCCTTCTTTTAACCGGAATATAGACGTCCAGTATGACTGAAAAGGAAACATGCTTATATTCATGTATAATGTTTCTGATTGCAGATTCCATTCTTATCAGTTGGTTCTGATGTTGGGAGAAGGGAAATTTGTTACCGTGGACACAGTCAGATGTCTGGAGACTTCATAGTTGAAGAGGTTGAAGGTGATGGAGGACAGTTGTTCCGAAGGCTTATTTTCTTGAACAGCCAAGGTGTCATTCAGTCCGAGGCACGCTTGAAGCTGTGTATGTAGTTTTGTCTTTAAATGTACATGACCAACCAGAAATCAGAAAGACTAAATACACTCATAAATGTAGTCATTTAACTGTAATTTTGAGTATTACATTGTGATGTTATTAGAATCACACAATTTCTTGGTGATGATCATTAACTTTTTCTTGCAGTAAAATCGAGGAAAGGAAAACCAAAAAAAGTAATTGATGTTGGTTATTTGGCTTGTGAACATCACACTTACATGACAGTTGGTGTTGCCCTTGCTGCACCAGATGGAGCAGAATGCAATGTTGCAGTTATTGGTCTTGGGGGAGGAGGATTGTGCACCTTTCTGCAACATTGCTTCCAGAAGGTACTGCTATGATGGTTTCTGCTAGAAATGTTTGTTACAAATCCACATTGTCATAACCAAGAAAACCATAATTAACTTCTTTACTGTTGTGAGAATGTCAGATCTTGTTTCTGGATTTGTTACAGATACGGATCACAGCCGTGGATATAGATCCAGCCATGCTTGAAGTTGCCACAGACTATTTTGATTTGGTTCAAGATGAAAGACTTGATGTGTATATTAGAGATGGCGCTCAGTTCATTCAACAGGCTGCAGAGAAAGGTGCGACAGCATACAGTACAGGGTATACACAAAAGAATGGTGCGTTTTCAAAAGTTAATAAAAAATTTATTTCTCACCTTACACGGGCACAACATACACCGTCAGCGGCAGAAACTGTCCAAGTTTCTCATGCGTTAATTACAATCCTTCAATGTGTGCACCCTGGGTCACACGACACACAAACTCATCCCAGACCCGGTGTAGCATGTCCGCTGTAATGGCCTGCAGTGCATGCGTTATCCGATCACGAAGTTCATGGATGGACGTGGGCAATGGTGGTACATAAACGCTGTCTTTAACGAACCCCCAAAGAAAGAAATTGCACGGTGTAAGATCTGGCGAACGGGGTGGCCAAGGGACACCTCAAAACGGAGCACACAGAAAGCCTTCTCCTGCTGCAATGCCATCTTTGAAACTGGCCCCGTGGCCACACAGGAAGCATGAGAAACTTGGACATTTGCCGCCACTGACGGTGTATGTTGTGTCCATGTAAGGTGAGAAATATTTTTTTTATTAACTTTTGAAACTGCACCATTCTTTTGTGTATACCCTGTATATGGTTCGATTTATTTAATTCTTCATACTGATCACCACAGTTCAGTGCATAACTCATCTTTGTTGCTTAGCTTCCAACTAGATTTTTATTTTTTTGTTGAGTGTTGAAATGTCTGATTTTTCAGCATCTTAGTTTATACATTTCTCCCTCCTTGTTTTGTCTCGACTCTTACAGGCACTGTCAGAGATCCATGCAACTACTTACCATAATGTAAGGCTCCTGTAATTTTATAATATCTCAGGAAGATACCATTAACAATTATTTGTACATTTTAAACCTTGTTAAAATACTGTTATATCCATATACTAGTTTCTGGTTTTACAAATCCATCTTAGCATGCAAAAGAGGTTTAAAATGCAAAGATGTTAGAAAGACTGGAAAAAGATAAATTGATTCTTAACCCGTCGACGTGGTAGTTTAAATACCCCGCATATACTGCTGTCGTGCTGTTCCTGCGGTAGTATTTTTTAAATGCCCGTTTAAATTTTGCTGTAAAATACTCTTTTTTTCATAACTTTTGAATTATATGAGATATAATTATAAATTTAATAATAATAATAATTTAATAAATTACAAAATTAATATGCTTAAATGGACTCTTTTCTAACGGACTCCTGAAAGTAAGGTATAATTGTGAAGTGAATGAAAAAAAGATTTTATATCAATATATAAGTTTTATTTGATAGTGGATGTACGTGTTAATTGTATGATTTTTCTTCTCTTTCATTTTATATGTACAGATGGCCTGCCATCAGTTCTCATGTGCAGTTCTTTCAACATCACATGATGTACTCATAAATTAATTAATATAATATATAATTATAAGGTACCTCGTTTAACTGGAACCATTTATCCTGATGAGACTTGCTAGTATTTGTCTGTTTCTCCCATATTCTCATTTCACCTTTTATAAACAGCTTCTGTTTTCTTATTCTTCAGTTAAAACAGCACTGTTGAACAAGCAAGCAAATAAGCACTGGATTACTTTGTTGTAGGAACTTCATTCCATGCAGTTCTGTTTGATGTGGACAGCAAAACTCCTGGTGCTGGTATGAGCTGTCCTCCCCCACAGTTCCTAGAACCCTCTCTGTTAAAAGATGTAAAGAAATGTGTAGGAGATAAAGGTTGGTGTTTGTAATACATTTCATATTCATATATTGGTAAGCCTAGCCCTTCTCTGTTATTTCACAGCTCACTATTTTACCGACACAGAATCTGTAATAAATGTCACAGCACAATTATGATATCCATATAGGCAAAAATGTTCATCACATTCTAATATCCAAATTAAAATACAAAGTTTAAAGCCCTTACATGCAAAGACCAATGTACAAACACATTCTGATAATTGTCAATAGATTAACTTCCACAAAGTTGTTTTTCTAAGTCTTGCTTCCTTTTTCCACCAAGTACGTGAAAGAAGTACATTATATCTGTTAATGCCCCATGCATCAGAAAAGTATTTTATAACCAGTATACAACTTACTTATTTATACATATCCCTCAAATTGTAAATTCAAGGTGTTTTTCAACATTGTTGCAGGTTTGTTTATCCTCAACTTAGTTTGCCGCATTTCTAAGCTCAGAGAAGAAGCAATAAACAACATCAAAGATGTTTTCAAATCAGTCAGCTCCTACAAACTGGAACAGGAAGTAAATGAGATAATCTTTTGTACTGATGATGCTGTTGAAGAGAAACAAACATGGAGAAACAGCTTAGAAGAGGCTGCCAAGAGAGTCAATGGACTTGCAAAGAAAAGAAAATTACAGGCTGGAGATTTAGTAGATGTCTCAAACCTTGTAAATTCTCTTAAAATCACTGCATGATTGCTCAACTCAGCATCTCCTTTGTACTTGTATCATAATTATATTATCTTACAATAAATGAGTGTCATGTGTGCGATTAATAATATATGTAATTAATGGAATAAAGACATTCAGTTTTTAGACGAAGGCGTTTTTAGACATTTAACCAAATGTATTTAAATGCCATTAAACATACTGCAGTGGATTTATAAAATGAATTCTAGGTGCTTTGTGTTGTTTAATTAACTTTTTCATGACTAAAAAAGGGAATGCTTGATTAAGATTACAATTTAGTTGATTTCAGTTATGCACAGGTTCAACTTCATATTAACTTAAATTACCAAATTTTCAAGGCATTAATATACACAAGAAATCAAATATATAATTTCTAATTTATATAAATCAACACTAATCTCATTGTAATTTAGAGATGTTACTTCTCAAATACAAGCCCATATGAATGTCTTTGGAGACCATAGGGATATGGGATGTTAGGTAGAAATGTAAGACACATCTGAAATAATCCAATACAAGAACTAAATTAATGTCAATATACTGACAAATTTAAATACACATCAACATTACAGCATTATAATTTAGCATTTTGTATTATGTAACTGTCAAACTGTATCAGTTGCCACTTAGAGGCAAAAGAATGGGTTAATATCACAGTACCTTTGATCATTTTCAGACTGAATGCAACATACAAAATAACTACTTTCAGATCTCTTGCAGTAAAATCACTATAAATATATATATATAGACATTTAAATATCATACTCAACCCACTGGAGTCTAACATCAAGCTTTACTCATGGGCAGCCATAATGTCCAAACAAGTACACCTGCTACCTGTTGCAACCCCATCACAGACCAAGCAGCATGTCTTTAAGGGAGGCTTCACAATGTTAACTGCAGTATATTTAGTAAATATTATAATCCATACTATCAAGTAATGTAAAAGTGCACCTCTATATTATTATGCATTTGTTTTCAGATTTCAATCTTTGCTTTCCACTATAATATAATCTCAGCTGTCACTCTAGAAAAATGTTTAGTTTCAAGGATTTTTTACAAATTCAAAAGTCCACATTTTTTATTTATCTGTAAGTGGATGAATATTCCATTTAAACAACTGTATTACTATACAAGAAAATAGGTCACACTGTATTTATTGTTTTAGGTATGTGAGATTAACACTGAAAATTCAGATTATGAACCAGATGGTTACAAGTGAAGGCAACGGGCATAAATGGGCAGGAAAAGGCTGAACGAAGTTACACAGACATCTAGAGAAATTATGAGATTTCAACCCACTCCTGAATTTTAAATAAAATCTATTCAATGTGTTCCTTAATTAGACATTAAAAAAAGTACAGGTTACCACTCACACACAGCCTAAATCCTCCATATAGAAAAGTGTGGGCACTGAATGCAATTACATTTCAGGCTACAAAAGCAGGAATCAGGAGTGTAGATACCCTTGTGCATGTGTATGAATAGGTCAATTCAGGAAATCTTCAACTCCTAGAAAATGGCTGCACTCAGTATTCATTAAACACATTTAAGAATTTTCATATTTTTTAATTATACAAGAAATGCACTTCTAATTTTAGGATGGAAGACACCAGACAACTATGGGAAGTATAGGCTAAGACTGGTGAATTGTAACAGTGTCAAATTTCAAGTTTTTACAATAAACCTTCAAGTTTTACAAGGACAGAAGTGAAAGCTTCATGGAAAGTTGTGTATCTCAAAGTTAAAGGTTCTCAATCAAGGACAAACATGAAGTCCTGAGCACAAGGCAAAGATGGCTTTTAGTACTTCAAAATTATGTGATAAATTAATAATTTTATTGTGCTTGTAACATAATGAAAGCAGGAAATATAATGCACACGTACCCCTTCCACCTTTCATCCTGCAAGGATGAATTGGAGGATATCATTTTAGAATTTTGGAGAAAGGAAGGAAAAAATAAGGAAAGAGATTGACCAGTGACATATTTTCTCCTGTCTACACACACACACACACACACACTGTTTGGATAAACTTTTGAATCTTCCAGGAGACTGAATAAATACAAAATAGTGACATCAATGAAAACAAAAAAATTACCCATCTACTTTTAGTTACTGACAGAAAAAGCACAAGTGACATGGAACACACAAATGCATAAAAAGACAAGACATGCCAAATCTCTTAACTGCATTATTATTTTCTGAGAAGAATTCTGAGAGTTGTCTGTAGCTATGAGAAGACTACTTACAGCAAACCTGCATTCAATCATAAAATATACATTCCTTTATATGTACAGATTATAAATATAAATTACAGCAGTTGGGAGATGTTGAAACAATTATACAATGTCAATATAAACTTTCATACCATAGAAATGAGTCCTGATGTCACTTGATATATCTGGTTGGTGAAGCAACATACCGTATACTTCAAAGAACCATATTATATGCTATTACTTACTTGCAAATATAGTATTAAACCTTAAAATAATGCATATTCTTACTTTACTACACATACAATGGAAGCTGGCTCTGTTTCTGTTACCAGGTAACTCAGAAGCAGAGCCAGCTTCTGAAACATTGTGCAACTTTTCAAACTAAGACGAAGGAAAATGTCCAAGAATATGTTTCAGTTTAATGACACACATTCACCAAGAACCTTCAGACTAACACAAAACTGTTAAGATATTTAAAATAATGTTTATAAAGAAATATTCTAAAACTCAAATACACACATACACACCACATAATGTAGATATCCAAGAAATGTCACATTCAGACACCACAAATTGTCATAAATAATTTACCAAATATTGCAAAGCTCTTGCTAAGACTGACTGTAATTCTGGGAATGACATAATATAGCTCCCAATTCTGTTGCAAGGTCTAGTACAACTCCAGTCACTGACTGTATTTATATACAATTTCATGCACAGCACATTTCCCCCAAATGTTCTTATTTGATTTTAACAATTATAAACTGCATCAGATGTTGAAGATGACTGTCTTCTGGAATGTGCTGTGTAGTCTCACAGACAGCGACTTACATTTCAGAGGAGCTAACTGCCTCCATCACTGCTCTGGTAATGGAGGCAGTAAACTCCTCTGAAATGTCAGTCGATATCTATGGGGCTACACAGCACAACATCCCAGAAGACATCTTCCTACTCCCTGCTGCGAGAACCTGAAATCTCATCTGTATCTGAAACTTCTCTTAACATCACCCTGTTTCTTAATGAAAGCTTCGAACTTCCAGAATACTTTCAAAAAGCAAAAAATTGAATGCTATATGCTCAATTATTGATGCCAGTAGCAGCATTACATTGAATTAAAATATAAATATGGTTTATGGGTGATTTGACCTTTATCATACAGGAACAGGAAATTTAAATCCCTGTACTAGAGGGCTAATCACCAAATTTTAACTCCAGTGTTAACAGCATGCTACTGTTACGCAAATCCAGCTGGACCATGCATAAGCCATGATGCATAGTCAATAAAGTACACTGCCTCTCCAAGTATGATTATTTCTATTTATTTAACTTTTTATCCTTTGCAACAACAAAACTGTACTTCCTACTCTAGGTCTGCCCTGAAACATAATGAATGCTCCAGGACAATCTATTGGACTTCATTATACAGAATTTTCTCTTTTTAATTCTAGTAAGGGATGGAATAACGAACTTCCTAACTCAGTGGAGCATAGTCCTTGAAAAGCTGACAGTCACTCTGCTGGTCAAGAAGTTCTTGCCTTATATGGAAACAAAGGACTTGTGACTGTTTACAACAGCCCAACAATGAAATAAATAAATTATGTTGTTTGAATAAAATATTGGCCTCAACTACAACACTTCCATTTGGTTGGATTATACAGATGAGACAGTTAAAATAAAGAGTATTTCACCAACCTATGAATCAAACAGCAGAGACCTTAAGTTTGAAATATAGGGTATATGCAAGAACATTTCCATGTTGCTCTAAAGAAGCCTAATCTACAGTTACAGTCAAGATTTTCTGCAATTCTATGTTAACATTGTTACCATACAGATAAGCAATAAATTATGCTTATGACATGCTCTTCTAGGGAAAAAAAACATGTAACAGTGGCAAGTAATTGGTATTTTTTTGGAGGCTTTGAAATGAGTCTGTAACATATTAGGTTAATGCCAGAACTTCTACATACAAAGAATAATATTCAACTACATTATGTTCTTGGGAAATCTGCCAACTGTAACAAATATCTTTTTTTTTTTTTTGATACTCCCACCAATGCCTTTACCTCAGCATTAAAATTATTAATGGACCAAATACTGATCTGTGAAATATGGACTAAATTGTCACAGATGGGAAGTAAATATGAAGATGGATTAGATAGAAACAGGACATGAGGATGTGGAATGGATTCATCTGGTTCAGAATAGGGAGCAGCGGTAGGCTCTTGTGAACGTAATGAATTCTCAGTTTCATAAAAGGCAGAGCATGTGTTGATTACCTTCCCAAGGACAGTGCTCCATGAAGTTGGTTCCAGAAAGAACAGATGATTCTGAAATACTCGATGAAAATAAAGAACAAAGAGTGAATAAGATATAAATCTCAAATTTTAAAATACCAGTAACTGTAAGCAAGAAGGACATACAGTAGCTTTGACAATACTAAGAGAAGACTGATATTTTCCAAACTACTGTTTTGTACAATTTACAAGAATGATATTGCAGGGATGGCATACTGTTTGTACATATGACACTACTATTACCTTCCAAATTCAGTAAGGTAATTTACAGCACAAACAAAGTACTGTAAGACAAGTTATACTTATATCACTTGCTACATACCCATTTAAGCAAGAAAGCAAGTTCAGCAATCTAACTTCATTTGCAGTACAGTTTTAAAATATAATTGCTCAATATGCATGTAAACAGTTCATATACATTATATGCATGTTCTATAGGCCTTTAAATATATAAAACAGGAAACATTCCAACATATATTTATTTTTACTTCATGGGTAACAATTTAAAAGATGGGCCAGAGATTCAAGTGTTTTTATTTTCATGTAATTATATTCAAATAAACTGTTTCGAAAGTACTTACGTTTGCATTATGTCAGTTATAGTTACAGAACAGGGTAAGAAACAACGTTCTGCAAGATGTTATTTTGACTTGGGGAAGACTGTCTCATGAATACAGACTAGAAGGACTTTAATAATGACTGGAATGATAACAGTGACCATGTTATGTGTTTACTGCCTTGGAACATAAAACATCACCTCAGAATAATTTCTTCACCATCTTTTTGAGTCCACTGCTGCCACTCATTCTCTTAACATTGTTTCTTTGAGACACTTCCACACCTCGACTTCTTATAGCCTCACTAGTCCGATCCAAGTCTTCAGATTCGGAATGACCATTTGCAGAATGCCCACTTTCATTATGCAGGATAGCTGGGGACAGGGCAGGTGACAATGGACCATGACTAGACTTATCTGAAGTCGCACTGGCAGCACGGCGACTACTGTACCACTCCCAATTGTCTGACTTCAACCTTGCCTGTAGACTTGGTTCTACGCTGTTTCCAGTACGGTTACTACGAGCAGACATTGCTGTCTTCATGAAAAACGGTGATGATAAACGTTGAACTTTAGGACTGAGTCCCACAGACTTAACGGCCCCATTTCCTTGGTGGGATACAGGTGCATTTTCTCCTAATTTCTCTTTAGTTCTAATAATCACTTCTTCTTCCTTCAACTCAACTCCCTGCGGCAGATCAATTTCTGTCTTCACTTGTGGAGATTCTTTTCCCGAAGCAGAAGATGCATGTGAAAAGCCATTTATTACCACTGGAAGGACTTCCTGACCTTGATTAAGATTATGAAGACCACTGTGCCTTGCAACTGGAGATTCAGGCACAGACTGTTGATGCACTAAACCACTGCCCTCTTCTGATGCCACACCATTTGAAAACTTCCAC